TGGGTAGCTGCTGCATTATTCTCAAAACCACTTTTAAAATACATCAGTGTACTTTACATTGGAACACAGCTACTGATTCCTGAGCAATCACTATGTGACAGGCACTTCATATATGTTAATTCACTTAATCCTAAAAAGAGGCCCAAATTTTACTGATATGGACACCAAGGCTTACAGAGAAGTTAGATAATTGGGCCCAAAACTCAAATATTCCAAGTGGGAAAGCTGGAACTCTGATCATATATGGCTTCAAAGCCTACATTCCTTACATCATACTACTCATCTCCCTGGGTTTAGAAATGCAGTGATGTGTTTTGTTGTTGTTGATCATTAGGTTTGTTTTAATACTTACGCATTTAGAGAAGTAGGCTTTGTCAAAAGTCTTTTATTCCACTAGTTCCATAATTTATCAAATATTTAATGATCAAGTGGCTTTGTACTACTTGGAGCATGTTGTTTTATAAATACAAATGGAAGATTTCATATGAAATCAGTACCTTATGATGGCCTTTTGATGTGAACACCAAAGCAGGGGTGTGGCATGAAAACAAGTGTAAAATCCATGACTGTAAGAAAGGTATCAAATTTGTTCGTTATACTACCCCCAGTAATAAACACAGTGCCAGACATTTGGTAAGTGCTTAATAAATACTTGTCAGATAAATAAATGCGTGCATGAATTATTTTCTCTGACACTTTTTTGGGAAAAGTTTGAAGACATAGTTGCTAATCATATTCTCCTTAAAGACAGTTTTTATTTGGCAGTTTTATTTCTTATTCTTCCATTCCCAGGCAGAGACACTGCTAGCCATGAAAGATCAGGCCAGGGACTTGGCTTCCGCAGGCAACCTACTCAAGAAGCATCAGCTATTGGAAGCAGAGATGTTGGCCCAAAAGGTAAGTAGTCCTGGGATCCCATTCCCTGACCAGAATGGAAGTGCTTCTGACTTTCCTCCCTCCTGTCATAAAAGACCATTTGAGAGTGCAGCCTCTCAAAACTAACCTTAGTGTTCTCAGTCAGCAGTCATTATAACCAGGTCAAATCCATGGGCTTCAGAGTCATTGTAACAGTCACTATTAACCAATCGTCATTAAGCTATAGATTCCCAAACACTAGGAGGTGGATCCTAAGGTTATCCTGTTTATCTTTTTTTAATTGATGCATGCATATAAGCTTACTATCTTCCAAGGTTTTTTGTTTTTTTTTTTGAAAAAATAAGTTTATTTTATAGAATTTAGTAGAAAAATGAAGTAAGATGGAGTTGTGTGAAATGACGTTGTAAAGTATACTCAAAACTATATATACACTCAGGAAATTCTTTGAAGGATTTCAGTTACATCCTAATATCAACTGGAAATTGGTCATGAGAAGAGTGAAGGACATGCTGGCAGGTGTTAATTTCATATTAGAATTTTTATATCACCAATTTTATTTGATTATACAGATACACCAGAAAGACAGACAGTCAAAATCTTTCTAGGTACATGGCTTCAGGATTTGGTGATGTCCCCTGTGACATCACTAGGTGATAGGATTAGAATGGGAATAGATATCAAAGAGACTGTAAAATTTTTGGGTGTATTGTATGGCCACCCTAAAAATTTTACCAATAGAGTAGTTCTTTTTGAATATTTCAATCAATCCTTCTATCCGTGACTGTCAAATTCACTGCTGTGAGGGAAAAAATTCATACATGGAGACAGTATTTGTTCACCAACATCTTACTTTCTAGTTGAGAAGAGAAGGCTAATACAGGTAAAAACATCAGGAGAAAGAATAAGACACATAAGGTCAAATGTGCAATTTGGTAATGGAATAATGCTATCCATACTACTCTGTGGTCTGCCCCTTCTCCAATCTGATAACTCAGGGTACAACATGGTATTCACTATCTTCAGTAACAATCTATTTGACTTAGTCTTTGAACCTGAACTAGAGGTGGCCAAAGGTCTTGGGTCTGCTTACTGTGTCTGTACTGTTCACTGAACACACTTGGGTTTTTTAGGATACGCTCGAGGACCTGAATGAATTGGCTACTGAGCTGCTCTCCAGTGTGACTTTCAATGAGGACCAGATTATAAAGAAAAGGGATAGTGTCAATGAGCGCTTCCTGGACATCCAGAAATTGGCTGCTGCACACCATGAAAAACTGAAAGAGACCTATGCCTTGTTTCAGTTCTTCCAGAACTTAGATGATGAGGAATCCTGGATAAAGTATGTACCACCAACTCACGGTGGGAGAAAAATCCAAGACAGTAGATAATCCACCAAACATATATTTATTTAATGCTGGAATGAAATGTGTAATTGTTGGTTGCAGTTGGTATTACTTCTTAATCATGTTTGTCTCAGCCTAAAGTTAACATTGGTTTTGTTTTTCTCAAATTTCGTCATTGGATGCAGGTAAAGAGAGAGATGATCATACAGTGACTGGATAACAGCTCACATACATGCTGGGAACAAAATGAAAAGGCCATATATGTTTGTTCTAGACAGTTCATAAACTGGGTAATGCTCGTGGAGACATCTGGGCATTTACATCACTTACCTAGCTGATGAGGTCATTGTCATTATTCTGCCTGTATCCAATATATCTTATATGATCCTAAACTGGACACTGGACAGAGAATACTACCTGCCCTGGTTTAATTACTAATTCTATTTCTGTTGTAAAAAATATGATTGGGAATATCTTAGCAAATCAAATTATTTTTCCTACTTCCCGTTTAACCTTCCTCATTATGTTCTTCTCTTACAAATCTGCTGACTCTTACTATTGACAATGAATTAGAGGGAAGCACAGTACATAGAGCTTTCCCCTTTGACAGTTATCTCTACTCTTAGGGCAACAAGTAGGACATTTCTAAACCATTTTAGAAACCATAAAATAAGATAATCTTCTCTATGTAGTTTCTATGACTCATGATGGTAGTCCACATTTTATGCTTTGAACCATCTGAGCTGTCATGACTCTTATCAAATCAGCCTGTCATATTTACTTTCTTCAATTTATTATTTAGGATGGTATATCTGTGCATATGGTAGAGATCAGCATGTTATTGTAACTTGTAATGGTATAAGTCAGAAGTTTTGCTGGCAGCCACTGACACTAATTATCTTTTTGATTATTGACACTGGGTTGTTCCAGAATTTACCACCTCCCCCAGTCCCAGCCACACACACACACACACACACACACACACACGCACGCACGCACTTAGAATACCATTGTTCTAGTCTGACAGCTTCCTTTTTCTTCCTTGGTCCCAGGGAGAAGTTGATACGAGTGAGCTCCCAAGACTATGGGAGGGATCTGCAGGGCGTTCAGAACTTACTGAAGAAACACAAACGCTTAGAAGGAGAACTGGTGGCACATGAGCCTGCCATCCAGGTAGGAATCATAGAATATCTGGAAAGACAGAGATCACTTAGTACCAGTCCTTTTTTTATGGATAATAGGATGGGGCTAGAAGATGTGAAGGTAGTATGTGCAGGTCACATAGAGTTCACAAGTGTTCTTTTCTCCTCCACCTCTTATCTTCTGTGAATGAAAGAATTCTATACCAGCAACCAATGGTCTTACCTGGCAGGAACACTTGTAACCTCCTGGGACCAGTTGTTAACAATTAAGATGCAGATTGGGACATCTGAGAAAGCTGTACTTGAACCATATGGGAAAAAAGTGATTCTCGACCTGGCTTGGCAGCAGAGTTAATCTATAACCCTGAACAATCCATAAAACAGGCCATAGACAGCAGCCTAGTGCAAGTGCTGAGATATTTACCAAAAATCCTGGACAAATTTAGCATGATAGATCTTCTTCATTCTATCAGGATTTTCAGAACAACCCCAAGTCACATGGAGTTTGTAAGTGATCTGGAAAGTAGGAAGGGATAGATAGATACTTTGCCAGGGGACTGTGGCTAAATGGGGAGAGACTGTGGGGTGATGGAACATGGTGTGTTCTTCAGAATGTGCTGGATATGGCAGAGAACCTGGGAGACAATGCTGATGTGGGACAAGAGGAGATCCAGGAGCGGCTGGCTCAGTTTGTTCAACACTGGGAGCAACTGAAAGAGTTGGCCAAGACTAGGTGAGTGAGGGATAGGAGACCCAGTTCTCTTCCTGGTTTGCAGGTGTTGGGTTTGTGTTGGGAAAATACTTAAGTGCCTGCTTAGCATTGATCCCTCTCCCTAGCTACCTATGCCTCTATATATTTTAAGTCCTTGCTCGAATGCCAGGTCTTCCATGAAGCTTTTAGCTGTTTCCTCTAGCCAAAAGTGATCACTACCTCTGTGTTTGAATACACTTCTCCACCTGCATTACTTGCAGTTATCTGCCTTTTATCATTGATAACATGTTATTCTTCATACCAGGCTATTAGCCACATAATCTGTTTTACTTTGCATTATCTCCTCAGTTTTAAAATTGTGTTTTAAATTGTGGGCAGCATTTAGCCAGACTGAACAATTTCTGCCTATAATTCCATATCTTGGCAATGGGAACATATTTCTTCCTGGGAAGTAAGAGGGAGTTTCCGGAAGTTTGTGGTGCCTTCATGATATAAGAAAGAAGGCAGTGATCAGAGTAGAGGGGGATACTGCTTAGTTGCTTGTATTCTTCAACTCTGAAATCTGGGCACTTCCTTAAAGCTTTCTAGAGCGTAGACAATGCTATGAAACTGAGCTTCTTGGGCTGGTGTCTCCTCAGCTGCACAGGCAGTCAGTACCACTGGCGAGTAGGCACATGTCAGATTGGGCTCTGGTCCAGTTTCACTGTGACTGGCTTGTGTAATAAGCCAGTCTGTTTTGATGAGATTGTGTTAGCCTGCTATACTCTTCTCACTGGCTACCAGTTTTCCTTATCCTTTCTGTATCGAGTCTTACCTCTACTCCTACCTCATTACAGAGGGCTTCAGTTGAACAAGTCCCTAGAATACTTGGAATTCATGGAGAATGCTGAGGAGGAGGAAGCTTGGATCAGTGAAAAGCAAGCTATGGTTGCCCGAGGGGATTCTGGAGACACCTTGGCTGCTACTGAGGTGAGCAACAGTCTGAATAGATCAATTTTCTTCTCTTTAATTTGGGCCTTTTCTTAAGCAGTCA